TCAAGGCTCGGTAATAGTGACAATCAAAGAGATGATATGGAAGGAAAAAGAAAAGGATTCCTCAAAACCTAAAGACAAAGACTTACTTTGGTGTAGTTATTACAAGAAACCAAGACGCAAAACAAACCTACTGGAAATTACATGGAGAGCCCCCAAGTAAAGAGTGAAACAAAGGAGTGGCCAAAAGAGGATATCATGAGCTACAATATAAAAAGTCAGCCTAACCCAAAAACGCATTCCAACTTCAGATAGCTCAACAAAGAAGATATTCATAAGCTAAAACTCCTGGTATCCCTTGAAAAATCGCATGCATCTTCTTCTCTTGCACTTTCAGGTAGTTTTTTTTTATCCATCGGATTAAGTGTCTTTATAAATCATTTAAAAAGTTTATGGATCATTGACTCAGGAGCCACAAATCGCATGACACACTCCATTACCCACTACATCAACTACACTCCTTGCCCGAGTGATAAGAAAATCATTATTGTTGATAGTTCTCTTACCATAGTAATAGGACAATGAGACATACCCTTATCTTACTCTCACCCTCAAAAATATGCTCTACATATCTGAATTATCCACAAACCTAATCTCCATACAAAAACTTACCAATGACCATAACTATCAAGTCATGTTTAACCCTACTTGTTTACTTTAGGATCAAGGATCAGGGAAGAAGATTGAAGTTTATGGATCATTACCTCATAGTTCGAAATTAATCGAACAATATTCGATCATGTTCGAACATTGATCAGATAGTAATCAAATAATAATCAATTCATGGTCAAATATATTCAATTTATATTCAAATTATATCTGAAGACATGATTGTACCATATTCAGACCGAGTTAAAACATCTACCTAATTAAGACAATCATACATTAACAATCAAAAGATGTTCAAACATAACTCAAATGAAGATTGAACGACATAGTCTTTGATACAATGAATCATCTTCAATCATTATACAAACAAGAGCCGAACATGATTCTCGCACTTTTTAACAAGTATCAAAATTCAAAATACATTCGTTGATAGTTGATACTCATTCTAACTTTGTATCAGATCACCATAAAAAAGGCATAATCTATAATATATGATGGAAGCTCAAAAAAAAAATTAGCACTTTAGTGCCCACATATGCTCAAGTTATCGATGAACCGAACATATCTTCAATTTCACTAGCGCAGCCCCTCCTGAGCGAAGAAACTAGGAAAAAGAATAAGACAACAATGGCATTGAAGAATGCCATAGTGGAAAGGACAAGATGTTGCCACTTGTATACAATAAGATAGGAGTATAGCCTATTTTGGTCCGAATGAAACTTTCGGCCATATTTTTCAAAGAAATAAAACAACAGGCATATTTCTCCAGTTTTGAACACTATGGGGCATATATAAAGTCAAATTTCCCTTGTCAATTATAAATTAACCTTAACACACATAAATCCCAAAACCCTCATTTTCTCCCCTCTTTTTACTCAAATTCTTGAAACCCTTAAAAGACAAAAGTAAAGATGAGAAATTTGTGAAAGAAGCTCGTTGGGGAAACATATCAACAGTAACGTCGGGGTGTGAATGAGCAGAGAAATTTTTAAGAAGTAGCAATGAAGAATAGAAAACTAGCATTGTTATACCTCATATTCAGTCCTACTAAATGTGTGATGAAATAAATTAAATCAGCCAGGAATTTCAAAGCACTAAGCACAATCAATGCGCAAGAATTTTGCATTGCTTTAGTGCACAAAGTGTAAAGCAAAGCAATGCACTTACTAAAGCATTCATGAGTTTTATATCATAGGGACATATCATATGCAAGCGATAATTATTTAATGAACCAAACTTAAAACCATATCAGATAATAATTTTACGGCAAAGATAATTTTACGTTCAATAATATAACAATTTTAATCTATTAAAAAGAGAAAAAAAGATTCAAAGACATAAATGATATAAACAATAAAGGGGTATAAAAAATATACTTGAAAATTAAGAATATATTCGTGAAATTGAGTGATCAGCTAGAGACAAAGAGTAAGAGGCAATGTTAAGAGAGAGTGTGTGTGTGTGAAAATAAGGCAGCGAGAACTGCTTTGTAGAAGAAGTTTGCGAGAGCAAAAAACTAATAGTGCCAACAACAAGAACAGTCAAAAAACGTATAAGAACTAGTCAGCAAGTGAGCTTGAAGAGAATAGACACCAAGGAGCAACTAGCTCCAGTTGTAGAGAAAACAGAACCAATGAGAGCAAAAACTTAATGACTATGAGAAATAACAAGGAAAAGTAAATAATCATGCTTAGTTGTTTTGGTAAATGTTAAACCAAACTATGAAATCTGTACTAGGATTTTTCTCTGAGCAAGAGCTGAGCACAGAATGTTACAACAGGATGCGACAAAGAGAAACGAGATGCATGCTTCATTGTGAGCTTGCATTTCACAATCAAGTAATGTGCAAAGCCAACATTGTTTTCCTTCACTCCTAAAGCACACTTTTAGTAACACTAAAATCCATCTCCCGATTCTTGGGATTTAGAATCGGGATTTAGTAAATAGGGTATTTATCATAGAATGAGAGAGAAACATGAATTAAGTTTCTATAGGCTTTAAGTTTGCCATTTTTACTATTTGACAAGATTTGAGTTAAATCCCACTTAAATCTTGCGTTAAAACTGCCGCCAAACCTCCCCTTAAACTGATTACCAACGCCATAGAGTGCAAAATAGAAACCTTGAAATGTGCAAGTCTAATCCCAAATTGGTACAAAAAAATGAAAACAAAATGCTGAAATTTGAATTTCCATTATACAAAATGTTATTTGTCATTAATCAAAAGGAAACATAAAAGTTATTACATTTTTTGTGTATTATGGATATTTAACATAGTAGTAGCCTAATTTCGTGAAGTTGGTCTGCTGAGATATACAAAGCTCCCATAAACTTTAGATGAATGTAAATATAATTCTTGGGCCCATAGGAAGCATTATAGTAAGCACCACAGCACTAGTTAAAAACGTCAATTGAAGAAGAGGGCCCAATTCTTCTTGACTAAACATGTCTCCCCCATTATTTCATTTTGGGCAAATGCTAAGGAACCCATTAGGAGCAGGCATCAGCACTTAGACTACAATAAAATTAACACAGCCAAAACCTGGCATTTTGGCATGCTGGATAACAACCAAATAACGTTATTGTCTCGACCATTATTTCATTTTGGGCAAATGCTAAGGGTCCCATTAGAAGCAGGCATCAACACTTAGACTACAATAAAATTAACACAGCCAAAACCTGCCATTTTGGCATGCTGGATAACAAACAAATAACGTTATTGCATTCCAAAAGGATTCATTTCGTTTCACAGCATACAGAGAAAAGAGAAGTGATGCGCATTTCATTTACATATAAATAAATTAATATAAATGCAGCCGAGGTTTAACAAAAACTATTTAAGTCAAATTATGTGTACATAATATCAATAGCATTTTATGCCAAATAAAAAATAATGACATTATTTAAACTTTAGCAATAAAAAATATGAATACATATATATATACAACACACAAACACACTATCATTAAAAAATGGTTTAAAACTCTGGCAAGCCAAGATCTTACAATCCAAACCATTTAAATTATCTTATCAACCAATTATATAATTTAATAAAATAATTACTCATATACAGATTTCCCTTAGTTTAGCTAATTTCATATCAAAAGACTTAATAATTCATATAATTATTAAGTATACCAATGCTTTATATTTTCCAACATACTTTTCATTTCCTATCCAACATTTTTACAAAACAACTAGTAATTTTTTTTACGAGAAGAATATTTAGATATCTTCTTGATGTGCGTATGTAAATAGCATTAAACATATATCTAAAAGAAGACAGTAATTTGCGCATTTTATAGCGTCATCTACAATTCTCAAGCTGATAATTATTTTATACCTGTTTTGAATGCATGTAAGCATCGAAAATACTTTTAACTCAATTTGATGTTGAATTACATTTTTCATACATATGAAATAATTTCAAATAAAAAAATGCTAACAAATTAAACCAAACAATTAAAATGCTAGGAAATCTTATTATTATTTCAAAAGTATTTCATAAATTTCACGGAACATGAGCTTGAACACTTGCATAATTACTAATTATTTAGCTGTTTATGTAAACTTAATGGCAAGCAACATCATTAAAATATATGAAACATTTTACAAGCTATAGATCAAGACTAACAAGTAAAAAATAAATAAATCATACATTTGAAAGTGCAATTTATGTTCAGTAAAAAAATAGGTGGTTGTTAAGAGTCTACATTAATGAAGAAATATAAAAAGCAATGGAGATGAATAATGAAGCATAATCAAAACATAATTAAAAAAACAAAATTATGAAAAACGAAAACAAAATAAATCCTAAGATGCAGGAAACTAAATACTATAGTAAAAAAAAGTTGAATAAGTGAAGCACCGCTTGGTAGAGCTTTTGGTCAAAGTGGAGTGCTGAAGCACTTCCCGTGCGCTTCACATCTGCATTAATCGCTTCACCATACTTCCAAACACTAATAAAATGAGAAGGATTTCAAGAGCATTGATGCTGAGATTGGAAGTAGAAGTTAATTTGGCTAGAAAATCAGCGCATGGATCTCCAGAAGGTTATTGAAAGGCTCAAGTTTAACGATTTATGGATGCTTACGAGGCAACAACAGATTTGGAATAGAAGTTCTGGTTATAGCATTGGACTTCAGTTTTCTTGTTTTTTCTTATTCAGGAATCTGAGTGGTTCTTAATTGTAGCTATGTTGATTTTAATGGAAAAAACAGTAAATTGTTTAAATAGGAGGGTATTATTTTTAGCAGAGAAAAAAATATAACTTTATTCGGCCACACCACTTTCAACAAGGCAATATCACCCGACCATCCCTCCAGTTGTAAGAAAATGAAAATAAAAGAAACAGTAAATAAGCAAAAGAGAGTACCTAATGAGCAGATGTTTTGGCCAACCATAAATCAATTTAATTCGCAGCACTAGCAGGGGACGGTCTATTTTTCCTTTCACTTTTCGGCTTTACAGCATCTTTTAAACTCTTTGGTGTAGTTCTTTGCTGACTCATACTTGATGTCCTGGATAACCCAGAAGAAGCATTATTGCTCTTTGTTTCCTCAGAATTTGATTCGATCAGCATTGTCCTTGCTTCTTTTTTGTGATCCACTGTTGATGATCCTACAGAATCGACGTACAATCTTCAGATGTTGTAATGACCTTGTGACAAGTCATTGGTGCAGCAGACACATCATAAACATTAGAAACATGTTTGAATGTGAACCAAGGATTGCTGATCTGTGCTCTAAATAGCAATAAGAAAATAATTAACTACTAAGGCTTATTAATCGTGGCACCATGAAAATTAAGGAAAAGGCCGGGAATTAGATGTCATATAACTGCAAATTAACATTTTTTTCTTACATGAAAAACCTGGCAGATTCTATTTTCCAATTCTTATATCAGAGTATGGAGGATAAGTTTAGAGGTTTTCTATCTTATAACTGAATATCAATATTAAGTTGAGAGGTTCAACTAAAGTAACTTTCTTTAACGCTTAACCCCAGTTACAGCAAACAGATCATTTGTGGTACATAACACGGCTTGCCCCTAACAGAGTAGAACACCAGTCTCTTAATACATAATGTTTCAGATGATTAGAACTATAAAAGCCAATACAGCAACAAAATTAATGATGGATGTACATCTAATAACTTTTGCTTCAACATCCATCTGATAGCAAGCACCAATGCATGACGTCCCACACCCCGTGAATCCAATAATACATATTTTTAGGACCGTTTCATTTTACAAATTTTGAAACATAAGAGAGACAATAAGCAAGTGTCACGTAATTTAGGAAGAAGAATGAAGACCTGGAAAAATCTGGGAACTTCTGACAAAAGTTGGAGGTATACTCTGAGAGTACGGATCCCTGTACGTTAAGAGTCAATCTGAACTCAAACAAAATAAATTTTGTACCAAACCTAAATATAAATAAAATAACACAAATTACAGATGAAATTATCCAAAAAAAAAGTTACCAATTTGAAGGGCCGCCAATAAATGAATCAGAATCTTTTCTGATGAAGTTGATATTCTTTTTATTAAATAGAACAGTTTCTTTTGGAATGCCAACAACAGTTTCTGTATCAAAGGTTTTTGTGGATTCCTCTTTGAATTTTTGAGCTTGATGTTCTGCAAGCTGACCAATCTGATTACCCTTCATGACACTATCAGGTACAGTAATATCAGGTGCAACCAATGCATTATGGCGCTTTACTTTCCGAAGTGCTCTCGCAGTGTTGTATGAATCTACCTAAAACAGGTCAAGCCAAAAGCCAAATGGTTATAGAAAATAAATACAAATAATATGGTATGAGCGGCTATAGACTGAAACCCTTAACTGCTTGAAACTATTTAAAAAAATCATCTTTCAAATACGTAACATAAATAACTCAAAAATAACAACATAAATATCCATGTCCACCACAATAATTTTCCGCATTAATTTACAAGTGTAGCTAAATGACTTGAGATTATACAGAAAATTACTGCTCCATAAATTTAGGATGCGTTAACATTAAACAGTTGTTCTAGAAGATGGGGGAAGCCAATGATAAGCCTTGGTATCAAAAACAACCAACAAATCAAGAGAAATTCAGCAAACCGCAGATTTTTATTGATAAGAAACTAAATACGAACGAGCGAGATACAATGGTCCTCTTTGGAGAGGAGGACCTCTTCCAAATTATAGACGCTGCTAGAATCTCTCATAAAAATAGTGGACAGCAAACACCCACAAAACTCATCAATAACATCCTACTAAAACCCTAGACAACTCCCCCTTAAATAGCCCTATAACACAATAACCTAAATAGGATCGTTCTAAAAATTTAAATATAATTTAAGAAACCTTCCTTAAACAATTAAACATAATTTAGGAAACCTTCCTAAACAAATAAATATAATTTAAGAAATATTCCTAAACAATTAAACATAATTTAGGAAAACTTCCTAAAAAATTTAAACATAATTTAGGAAACATTCCTAAACAATTAAACATAATTTAGGAAACATTCCTAAACTATTAAATATAATTTAGGAAACCTTCTAATTAAATAGAACTTTCCTAATCAAAACCTCTCTCATTAAATCCTTCCTAACACAATAAAAATATTTGGAACATTCCTAATTTAAAACCTTCCTAATAAAAACCTTACCGAAACACCTCTCCCTTCATTACTCTCTTTGCATAACAGCTCTCCTAGGCCTCACAAAGCAAGCCGAATTTCCCCTTTGGCTCCCCTCCTGCTTCCACTTAGCCTTGACTAGTTCACCTCCTATTGGACTGGCCGGCTGGGTTAGTCCAAGCCTTCTCCTGTTGTTGCTACCTCTCTTGCTGTTGTTGCCCCTCCGGCTACCAGTCCTGCTGCTGCTGCCCCTCCTCGTTGGCATATCAATACTCCCCTCTCAAAGAGACACCTTATCCTCAAGATGGAACAAAGGTATTATCCATTTAAAAGTCCTCAATATATTCCAATTACAGGAACAGTTGTTGTTCCTTTCCCTGCCCAATGGAATCGAATCTCCAATCTCTTCCTTGTAATAACTACAGAAAAGGTTTTAACAATTGCCTTGTTTGAACCACTAGCATTATCTCTGATATTGAAATTCTTTAAGACAAGTTTCCCTTGTATGTAAACACCAAATATCCATCTTCCAGGGAATGAAATATCTATTATAATCAATGATTATTATCTCAGCATAGTGCAACTTAACACTGTAATTCCCGTTGTTCAAAATGATGGCATTGTGCTTTGCATTTAAAACTTCAAAATGGGCTCTATTTGGACTTCTCCCATGATTAGACATTGTAGATGTAACTAGTATGATTAGATCGATGTAAAAGTTACTCGTTAACTCGTCGAAATCAACATTTGACAACTATCTTTTATGGGTGTGTCTAATTCGGTGTTGATATTCCACGAACTACGGAACCACCAAAACATTACTTGAAAGGAAACTTTGTTCATAAAAGCAAACACCCTTCCATTAGGGATTATAGCATCTGAGCAAAATTCAAGCCCCAGTTTTTCATGCAAAAAATAATAAACCTTCTCCCAATGATTAATTATCATAGCTGCAGAGAAGTTTGAAAGGTTGGATCTACGATCACCCGATGGTAACTCATCTGCCAGAGCTAGCTCACAAACTTTTTCCTTGTTCTGGCTGGTAGTTTCAGATGAGTGTGCTTGCATGAATTGATTTTAATAGATGGAGCAAACTTGGACCAAGAAGTTCTTGTTACTAAAAATTAATAATTTTTTATCAAATATTCCTGCTAAAAGAAGAGCAAGAGATGAGCCCAAGCCATCTCCATTCGTGAGTACTCCAACACGAGCTTTTCTAGGGTCACCCATCAAGTAATGTAATCCTTCACAGAGCAATTTTGATGTCACATTAATAGCAAGAAGATGTGCCACTAGCTTTGAATCATCTAAAGTTTCAGGAGAAGTGATGTCATGTAGTATAGATTCCTTTGCAATGTATGATTTGACAAGTGAAATAAATGTTTATTTCTTTCCCGCCATCAATGACCTAAGGGTTACAGTGGTGATAACGACTTTCAGAGAGAAACTTCTCAAAAACATCTGTATTTGAGGTAATTTGTCCATAGTAAACTTGCTCCTGAATCCTAGGAAGCTCTTCACTCATAGCACTTAGAGAGGATTCTTCACTCGGCTCATGTACAAGACTATTTAGCAATAGATAGCACTGCAGCTTAGATAGCTCAAGCTTGTAAACAAAATGGGTGGTCCCTTTAGCCTCTTCCTTATATTTAGCTTCTCTTTCAACTTTTAGAAGCATATCTTGGGGAGGACATCTGGCCTTAGCTAGCACCGTTTCCACAAATGCTTCATCAACCTAATGAACCTGAATAACATATGTCGCATCTTTTATCTTTCTCACCCTAGGATCGCCACCACCCCAATAACTTCCTCCTCCTACCGTGTAACGGTTGTCATGATCCCTCCATGTCTCCCCTTGTATCGAGGGTGGGAATCCCACATTTCTTCCATCCGCCATGCATGACTCGATCCACATAACTCAGCTCGACCCCCTCCATCTCTGGCCGCCCAATCCCCTTGCATGAAATGCCTCCCATAGTGGTCGGCCCCACCACCTCCACCACAAAATTCCCTCCTTGTTGTTCCCCATCCGAAAACCCTACTCTGCCACTTATCGGAACCCTAGGAGGTGGCTCTTAATGAAAAGAGCTCTCTTCGTTGAACTTTTCCTGTCCGATCTCTTTCCTTTTAGATTCGAACAAGGAAATCCAGATCAAAGCTTGATTAGGTTTAGCAATTGGAATCATCGATGGGGTTTTGGATCGCATCTCCATGAACTTTCTCATCATCTCCTCCAGAATTATCATTCCCTTTGGTTCAGCCCTAGAAATTTTTGGTGAACTTCATAGTTCATACTATATCTCGATTACTTTCATCATCATATCTTCCAAATTCTCAAACCTTCCTTCCATTGCTAAAAAATGCTCATTCAACGATCCCACATCCATTCGCAACTGCTATACTTCTCCCTCCAACTTTTCTTCCAATGCCTCAACTCTTCTCCCGGCCATCGGTGCCAAGAAATTGCTATGTACCAATTTGATACACCTTGGTATCAAAAACAGCCAACAAATCAAGAGAAACCTAGCAAACCACATATTTTTATTGATAAGAAACAAGATACGAACAAGCAAGATACAATGGTTCTCTCTTGAGAGGACCTTCTATCCCAAATTCTAGATGCCACTAGAATTGCTCACAAAAATAGAAAACACTCACAAAACTCATCAATAGCATCCTCCTAAAACCCTAGACAACTCCCCCTTAAATGGCTCTATAACACAATAACCTAAATATATTCTTCCTAAACAATTTAAATATAATTTAGAAAATATTCCTAAACAATTAAACATAATTTATGAAATCTTCCTAAGCAAATAAACATAATTTAAAAAACATTCATAAATAATTAAAAATAAATTAGGAAATCTTCTTAAGCAAATTAAATATAGTTTAGGAAACCTTCCTAACCAATTAAACATTATTTAGGAAACCTTCCTAACAAAATAAAACTTTCATAATCAAAATCTCCCTCATTAAATCCTTCCTAACACATAATAAATATATTTGGAACCTTCCGGATAAAAACCTTCTTGAAATACCTCTTCCTTGATTACTCCTGATGCAAGCAAGAAATTAGAAAAAATCTAATTTTTGCTTGCAAGAATATTACAATTCCTAGGAAATAGAAATGATACAAAGACACTCTTGAAATAACAAAAACAACAACTTTATAACATATAAAAAGAACACTTACAACTTTTGACGCTACAAAAAAAATAAAGGCACCTAAAGGAGCTTGCATTCGTCGAGAAGAAAGATACAGGTGGGGTGGTCACTTGCGGCGAGAATAAAGAGATTAGAAGCAGAGATGAAATATAGCTCGCAAGCTATAGAGAGGAGAAGAGATGGGGGACATAGCTCGCAAGCTATGCCCAAAGAAGAATCTCCAAAAATCAGTCACATAGCATCTAAAAACTCTCTTTATTCACTAATCCTCACATGTTTATAGAACCTAAGAGGGCAGCCAAACAGCCACATAAAAACCCCCCATTTAAACCAATTAAAAGCATGAAATAATCACATAACACCTGAAAAGACAGCACAAAAATCAGGTAAAGCAGCCATGGGAAAATAGCCAGGAAAGAAACCGAAAAGGCAGCACGGGGGACTGGAATAATCACCCAGCAAAGGGAGGTAAAGCAGACACGGGAAACAGCACCAGGGGAGAACCGAAGGGGCAGCACAGGAACCAAAACCAGCACCCAGCAAGGGGAGAAAGAGCAGCCACGGAAAACAGCACCAGGAAGAAACCGATGAGACACAAAGGGGAAAATGCAAGGATTCAACTACAATTAATGAGCTTATAGAAGAATATTTTTCATATTAATGAGCTAACATTAGCTCAAGCATTTATGAGCTTGAACCAAGTAGTCCCCAAGACTTTAGCTCAAAACCAAAGCAGCCAAGGCTCAATCCGAGAGCAACCAAGGCCCAACCAGAGAGGTAACAAGTAGCCCAAAGACCAAAGAACCCAAGAAGCTTAGACCCCCTCTCTTGCCTACATCAATTCTCCTCCGGTTGAAAATGCTCATCTCCTGATGAGTTGTCTTCAAATCTTGGAGATCTGGCATTTCAGACTCTTGAATTAGAATGTCATACTTTTGTTTGATGGCTAACATTTCTCGTTCAAATTCTGCTAGAAGTGAACACCTCTTAAATTCGAATATCTCGTCACATAATTGCAGTTCTTCTTGAATCTTGAGTAGTTCAATCTATATCGGGTCTGAAGAACTTTCTTGAGGTGAGATCCATTGGCTTTTAGGAATATATTCTTTAATTGCATATGGTTTACTTTCTTGATTGCTTTCCACTTGATGTTTATCCATCTTGACTTAAAAAGGACACAAAACCTAGGAAGACACCAACCAAAGCTCTGATACCAAATTGATGCAAGCAAGAAATTAGAAAAAAGATTACAATTCCTAGGAAATATAAATTATACAAAGACACTCTTGAAATAACAAAAACAACAACTTTATAACATATAAAAATAACAATTATAACTTTTGACGTTTACAAACACAAAATAAAGACACCATAAAGGAGCTTGCATTCGTCGAGAAGAAAGATACAGGTGGGGTGGTCACTTGCGGCGAGAAGAAAGATATTATAAGTCGAGATGAAATATAGCTCGAAAGCTATAGAGAGGAGAATAGATGGGGGACATAGCTCGCAAGCTATTCCCAATGAAGAAAAAACCCTCATGCTTTTTTATCTCCAAAAATCAGCCACATAGCATCTAAAAACTCTCTTTATTCACTAATCATCACATATTTATAGAACCTAAGAGGTCAGCCAAACAACCACATAAAAACCCCCATTTAACCAATTAAAGGCATGAAATAATCCCATAACAGCACCTGAAAAGACAGCACAAGAACCAAGTATAGCAGCCATGGGAAAACAGCCAGGGAAGAAACCGAAAAGGCAACACAGGGGACTGGAATCAGCACCCAGCAAAGGGAGGAAAAGCAGCCACGGGAAACAGCACCAGGGGAGAACTGAAGGGGCAGCATAGGGACCAAAACCAGCAGCCAGAGGAGCCGAACCAGGAGGGAAAAATCGAAGAGACAAAGGGAAGGGGAAGGAACCAAGGGGAGGAAATCAAGGGGCCACAAGGGGGGGGGGGGGGGGGGGCCCATATTAAAACACAAATTTGGGGGTAATTAAAGCCAAATTATGAGCTGAAACATAAGTAGAAGCTCATTAATGAGCTGACTCAAAAAGAAACTTACAAAAACTTTAACTCAACTTATTTTGACCCCCCCTGCCTACATCAATTCTCCTCCGGTTGAAATTACTCGTCTCCTGATGAGTCGTCCTCAAAATTTTTGAGATCCGGCATTTAAGACTCTTGAATTATAATGTCATTCTTTCATTTGATGGCTTCCATTTCTCGTTCAAATTCTGCTAGAAGTGAACGCCTCTTAGACTCGAATCTCTCGTCATATAATTGCAGTTATTCTTGAATCTTGAGTAGTTCGATATGTATCGTGTCTGAAGAATTTTTTTGTTGTGAGATCCATTGGCTTTTAGGAATAGATTCTTCAAGCTCATTTGGCTTACTTTCTTGATTGCTTTCCACTTGATGTTTATCCATCTTGACAACTTTATGACTCACCAAGACTCACACCAACCTAGGATTTACTAACTTGCTCTGATACTAAATTGATGCAATTAAGAAATTAGAAAAAATCTAATTTTTTCTTGCAAGAAGATTACAATTCCTAAGAAATAGAAATGATACAGACACTCTTGAAATAACAAAAACAACAACTTTATAACATATAAAAAGGACACTTACAACTTTCGACGCTTACAAACACAAAATAAAGACACCTAAAGGAGCTTGCATTCGTCGAGAAGAAAGATACAGGTGGGGTGGTCACTTGCGGCGAGGAAAAAGAGATTATAAGCCGAGACGAAATATAGCTCGCAAGCTATAGAGAGGAGAAGAGATGGAGGACATAGCTCGCAAGCTATTCCCAAAGAAGAAAAAACCCTCAGGTTTTTTTATCTCCAAAAATAAGCCACATATCATCGAAAAACTATCTTTATTCACTAATCATCACATATTTATAGAACCTAAGAGGGCAGCCACATAAAAACCGCCCATTTAAACCAATTTAAAGCATGAAATAATCCCATAACATCACCTAAAAAGACAGCACAAGAACCGGGTAAAGCAGCCATGGGAAAACAGCCAGGGAAGAAACCGAAAGGGCAGCACATGGGACTGGAATCAGCACCCAGCAAAGGGAGGTAAAGCAGCCATGGGAAACAGCACCAGGGGAGAACCGAAGGGGCAGCATAGGGACCGAAACCAGCACCCAGCAAGGGGAAAAAGAGCATCCACGGGAAGTAGCACCATTTAAAAACCGAGGAGACACAAAGAAAGGGAAAAGGCAAGGATTCAACTCCACTTAATGAGCTTACAAGAATAATAAATTTTCATATTAATGAGCTAACATTAGCTAAAGCATTTATGAGTTTGAACCAAGTAGTTCCCAAGACTTTAGCTCAAAACCAAAGCAGCCAAGGCCCAACCAGAGAGATAACAAGTAGCACAAAGACCAAAGAACCCAAGAAGCTTAGACCCCCTCCCTTGCCTACATCAACTCCACTTTGCATAACAGCTCTCCTAGGCCCCACAAAGATGGCAGAATTTCCCCTTCGGCTCGCCTCTTGCTTTCGCTCAGCCTTGGTTGGTTCAGCTCCGGCTGGACTGACCAGCTAGGTTGGTTCAAGCCTGCTCCTGATGCTGCTGCAGCTGTTGCCCCTCCTGCTACCGCTCCTCATGCTCGTGTTATTACTACCCCGCCTCGTTGGCGTATCAGCCACACTTGGGGTACCAATGAAAAGTATGCCATTACTTCCACAAATCCAAAAAAAAAAAATTAGTGTGATATAATAGCCAGTGGTTTATGGTCACATGACTAGGATTTTCTTTCCAAATAAATTTTGATTTCAATTATAAGAAAATGATTGTTTATGATATAATATTTCATGCAAAGATAAAAATTCTTCCCATGTTACTTTTGCACATGTACCTTCCCCATTAAAGCAGACAGTTATTGTGTTCATGAAGCCAATTGATGTTATAATTGAGGAATTTGAACTACTTCTACCATAAAACACTGGGTATATAGTGCTTTAAAACTAAACAATAACTCCATTTTAAATTTTAGTATCTCAAAGCTAAACACCTCCATCGCCTGCTTCTGTGTAGGGAGCATCTTCAAGTTGAATAGTCTTAGTTTCATGAATACAAAACTGTAAAAGCAAAAAAATGATAATACTTCAACAACTGCATTCTGACATTGGACTCACAGCATTTTTAATTTTACTGGTTATATCAACAGCTTTTAAAGCTGCAAGCCGCAAACAATGTGTGATCACACTTAATGAGACACCATCTCCTCCAGCCTTTTGCACAGCACAAACATCACCATTTGAGTTCAATGTAGCGGTCATCCTACCCCCCATGATAGCCTCTTCCTTGTGAGTTGGATCGATAACCTACTGAACATATCATAATAAAAATTGCTTCTGGAAAAATAAAAAAGTAAAAGAAATGATAAAACAGAATTAAGCCGGTAAGTAAAAAACTCAAACAAATGTGTAGGAAATCGTACCATGGCATCACCTTCATTGAAGAAAGCAAACGTTACTGCAACTGGCATATGATGTATTATCAAAGGAAGTGGTTCCCTGACCTATATGGATCATGAAAATAAATAAGAAAATGAAATGATTGTTCAAATTTAGTAAAGCTAAAATCACAGGAACAGCTTAAGAAATAAGAAAAACATAAATTTGTTAGCAATAATAAGGACAACGATTTTGTGCAATGCAAAAAATTATCAGATTAGGATAATGAGGTGGCTACAAACCTCAGGATCATGAACAACAACATCCTGACCATTTTCACCTCCCAGTGTGCATTCAGGCTTTCGATAGGTCAAGAGAGCAGCCAGAGCAGCAATATTGGCAGTGTCAATGAGGTTTCTGGCACATTAGGTCATTCAATGAAGATGTGATAGATGATAACCACGAACAATAATAATAAAGGTAAGTCATCAAGGCATTGAACTGAGCAAAAAACGAGGCAATGCACTCATCTTATTCAAATAAGGCGCCAAGTTCTAAAAAATACATAATTAAGCGTTTTGGCCTAATATATGATGCTGTCATCTAAAAGATAATAAAACCAAATTCAAGGCACATACAATCCAAAACTGAAAGATGCACATACTGCACATTATTTAAGAACCAGCACTTATGACCAGCATTGATAATACACTTTTGTTATTTTGATTCTATGATAAGATAAAACTTATCATAATCATTTCCATGCAAACCAAAATAACATAAAACAATAATAGCACACAAATTACTAATCAAACGGTAAATATTGTAAGTGGACAAACAAATGTATACATGTAAAGTCAAAAGAAAATCATGGCCAAAAGCAAATGTAGAAGCTGAACGAGATAGGTAATTGGCTACCGTTAAAAAAATGAAAAGGGGATATGAAAATAATTAGGTCACAAAAAAAATAGAAAAACACTAATCATATGAAGAAGATAGGTGTTTGGCTACATCTAAAAATGAACTGGGAAGATTGAAATAAGTATGGCATAATAAAATATATAAAAATACTAATCATATGAAGAAGCTTGAAGGAAAATATCTTACATTGATTATAGTTCAACACCATTTTAAGATATATACCAACTAGCAACCACAATACCAAAACACTGAAAACAACTAAATGCTGTAAATGCTAGATATGGAGAAAGCATCAGCCTAAGATGCCTCAAATCTACAAAAAGACGCTATGATGCACTCTACTTTCTAACATAAAATGCCTGAGAGGTGACAGATGCTTGGAGGTGTTTTGCTTCACATGCACACCATTTGATGCAAAGTGCTCATGCCTCAATAAGCATACGCTATGAATGCAAAATTAAGTTTGAAAATCATTACCCTCCATTGTCAAGAATGTGAAGGTCTACACGTATTGCCCACACTGACTTCCCAGCAACAATGCATAAGGATTCCATATCCACAGCCCTGCTTTCCCTGCAATACATTTTTAATCTGTTAGAAATAGAGCTTTGATCATCCTAAACTGTAAATAAATTGGCGAATGAAACAAATATTCTTGCTAAGCAAAAGGAACTAAATTACCTCAGACCACGATCTATTAATCGCCCAAGTTCAATTGCAAACTCCCCAGGCCGCCCAGGCTCAAAAGCAGGATCAGCCATTGGTGAAAATTCAGTAAATATTGCAAGCGTCCCTTCATTTGGCCTGTCCCTATAAGGTTGGACAATTTGACCACTGACAAGACCAATGACATGTGTCTCACCAAGCTGAACCTCCGATGAACCATCTTCCCTACAAATTAGACAAATCTAACCTATTGAGAAAACATTTGACTGAGTCTTGCAAAAACAGTTAAATAAAAAGGAGATCAATGCTATATATTTATATCAACATTTTTTTAGCAAAATTCCACTCAATTATATGTTGCTTTAGCCCTCCAAATTGGGGGTGTGAGTAAAATAAACTCGCGAGCCAACTCGAGCTCAACTAATTAATAAGGACACAAATAGAGCTTATCGAGCCACGAGATCAAGCTCAAGAGCAGATTACTACTCATATATTATATGAGCTCAAATTTGAGCTTGATGAAACTCAGCTCATTTGCTCGTCAAGTTACTCAAGAAATTGAATACGGAACTTGAGCCCATGAGTTAAGCTCGAGCCTTCAACTAATCAAGCATGTTGAGCTTGAGTTTAATGTATGAGCTCAACTCTCAAGCTCAATTTAAACTCTATCATGAGATAGGCAAGCCGAACTCAAGTTAGCAATGGCTCAACCTTCACTTTACTTGTTTACACTCCTACTCCCAACTGAAACATGAATAACTAAAGATTGGAAAACTCACAAGTCACAAACAAACTTATGGTACCATAATTAATTGTTGAATAGGATGAATAGTTCTGAAGTTTTAATGCTTCCATTGTATTGCTCAATACTATACTGCAACATTTTATCGCAAATATTAGCTAAGTACGTTTATTTTAAAATTTTAACCTCTTCTTTAAAATTCTTTGTGACCAATATTTTTCTAATTTATTCACAAGTCATTATCCCTAATTTCCCAATATTTGCAACATTAACCTGCTTTATTTCAAATAGTTAAATGTAAGTTACAACAACTAAAAAAGAATTCACCAAAAACTCATTGATTTGAAATATCACTTCTTACACTTATGTTTCTTATAAAAAATTCACCCAAAATTATTATTAAAAAAAAAATTATTTTGTTCTCAATAGATTTTTGTTCATAGAGATTAAGATGGTTCCATGGCTAATAACTTAAAATGAAAACTTAACTACTACTGTTTTAAATATTCAGGAATTAAACTCTCTGAAAACATTTTTAAAAAGCTCAACTATTTATTAAAACAAATATTATATTACAGCTTATATCCACAGTTGGTGTTGTTGGTCCTAAAAATGAACAGCTAACTACCAACAATACTAGCTTGCGCTATTATAATTGGTTTTTCATATATGTTTTTTTTGTACATGCGACTATAGCAATTAAGGACAAAGCAGAGAGTCGCACATAATTCTAAAGCTAAAAATCTTTAAATGAGAGAAGATGGAAACCTATAATAAAATTTTCATGAAGGTCAAAGTAAGAATAGGTGGGATGTCTTAATTTCTTTAACTAAACAGTAATAAATTTAATCAACTCTATCGGGATTTGTAGAGTATGAACAACTTATTATCAGGCATATAATTTATAGGTTTAATCCCCCGCACTATACACCTTCAAGCTTTCTATATTGACCTCCAACCTATGCACCAATATCTTTTTCCGTAAAGAAAAACTAATCCTTTGACATTGCTCATATGCTGCAGTATATGGTAACAAAACCATTCAAATTTCCACAAACGCATGATTAAATCAAAGATACATACAGAAAAATTCTAAACATGAAATAAAAACAGCGTTAAGTTAATTAAAGAAATTAAAGAAGCATGCCTTCCAAACTTGATAGTAAGCTGGCGGTAATCGACGGGACTGCGGCCATCAACTCGGATGTTTTTACTGAGAGCGCTCTCTATGAACTTCTTCTCATTAATGGTCATATGCCAGGTATTAGCCAGCCTCTGCTCCATCCCACCCCTAGCTCGATTGAATCAACTTTAGCAATGGAAATCAATCAAGAAAATCTACAAAAAATGCGGACAACTTCATTTCCGTCGAGAACCGTTTGAACTAGTGAAAAATAGGGTTTTATAGAAGAAATCAAATAAAATGCAACAATAACATTTAGGGGCTGTTTGGTATCGGATTTATGCTAAATCCAGCCAACGGTTTTTGTGCGCGCGTTAAATCCCGGCGATGGATAAATCCCGGATTTATTCCTAAATCCCTCGGTTCAGCGGATTACGGGATTTGGCCGATAAAGCGAGCGAAAGGAAGAAAGTTACCTTCACAACCAGCGAGCTCCGTTGTTGCTTCCGATCAAAATGTCGTAACTTCCGATCCGACAGTAAGGGAAAGTCGTCAAAAGAGCGTAGTCGAACGGCACGAAGGAGCCGACGAAGCGACGCGTGAAATCTCTGCACCTCCTGCGAAGCAACGAAGCCGAACAGCAACGACGAAAAGAGGCAAACCCTAGCCGCCTCTAAGTTATTTTTTATTAACTTAATTAATATAAATTAAAATATTAATAATTAAGTAAATTAATTAAAAAGTTAATAGTATAATTAGTGTATAATATAATTATCTTTGTTGATATATCTTAAAATATATATTATTAAATATATAATATTATAATTAGTAATTTAATAATTAAGTTATTTTCTAATTAAATTATTTATCATTATAATTTATTAACTATAATTAAAATTAAATTTAATAAGAAAATCGTATTTAACATGTTATTAAATTCATAACACATTGATTTTAATCTTTAATTATAAATTTTATTTTGAAATTTTTAATAATTTATTCACATTTAAATCTCTAACTGTCACAAATATTAAAATAGATTATCAAATAGTTTCTCAGGATTTAACATTTATCATACCAAATAGTTTTAAGAATTTAACGCCCTTGGGATTTACTAAATATAGATTTACAGGCTTTAGTAAATCTCACTAAAGTTAAATCTCACTTGTTGCCAAATAGCCCCTAAGTGTACCTCGGATGAGAAATTGGTATGGCAAGCCTACCATCAAGTGAACCAAAAATTGATACAAGAGAAGAGGTTGCGTCGAACAGAGAACATTGAGGTACCAGTGAAGCATGGGTTGTAGGGTTCTTGTTGGGTTTTATGGGTGAATTTGATATTATATTCCTACTTTGCCAAATGTTTCCCTTCAGCAATATGTCCTACAAATTATCACTTATGAAAGTTTAATGAAATTATCATATAATGTTTGAGGTCATTAAAGCACTTAAATATTGAAAGAATTATATATGGTCAAATGAATTAACATAAATCATCTAATGGAGTGTTTGATGTGGCACAAGATGTCCACCAATCAAAGCTTAAAGCAAGTAGCACATTGAAAATATGTGAAGAGCAAAGATTGGGAGTGAATATATTAAATATAATTTTATTTTATGTTTATGTATGTGTTTAATTTTGTAAAAGACTATGCCATGGTGAATTTAAGTTGCAATATTACTTAGTAAGTGAAAGTGAAAATTTCAAAAAAAAATTAAATTTGAATTTTTAAAACTCAATATTATGAAATTTTGTTTTTAGAATTTTAAATCGTAGTATGAATTGTTACTTCCTTAAATGTAAATGTTTAATTGAATGAATAAATTTAATTTAAATATGGGCACATGCTTGATTTGTTGGCCAATATAACATGGAGGGAGTTGTAAAAAGTGGTTTCACTCTCTCTCCTATATTATAGTGGTTGGCCCCTCAATCTCTCCTTGCCGCCGCCTTTTTTTTATGTGTAATTCATATGAACTTATTGTAACTATTTATGCATTATGGAATAAAAAAAAATTGTTGTTACGTTTCTAAAAAAAATTGGTTTTTCATCTAAGAAAAGGAGGTATGGCGCCTGACTCCTTGCACGATGAGGTTTGGTAATCTCTTAAATATTCCTAATATAGTGAGTAGAAAGTCTATTTTATCTTTATTTGATTTTTTTCATTAGAGTTATTTCTCAATTATCAATTTCTTATCATTCACCCCGCAACATCTTATCTATAATCCCTATTAAAGCTTTCAACTAAAACTAGGTTGATTCAAATCTAGTTGGATTCTAACCTTCATTTGACCAACCAACCCGCTTTAGAATATAGTGAAAATCTTCATAATTGTTCTTAAGGTATTCCATTTTCATCTTCATGCATTTGAAAAGTCCTAAAATGCCCACTAATTGAGGTTTTAAAGGCCAAAAAACTCCACTAGTCAAAATTCGGCCAGAAATTTTGTGCTCATATATATCATCCTATCATTGCATGAAACTTGACACCACTCAATTCCAAATCTTACCAATGCTTACAAATCAACCCCAAAACTTTTTGGAACCCTTCCAAGGCTAAATCAACAACCCACCAAGGGCTAAACCCTTGGTGGCAACCCATTATTTTGTTACTAAAGCCTAGTTTACAGAGGAGACTTTGAGACATCACCACCAAGCTTAAAAAGTACTTGCAAATGGTGAATTGAATTGATTAAAAGGTCATTTATCTAACTTTAAAATTTTATTTACTATTTTTTTGGTAATTTGTTTTCTTATTACAAAACTTCAGGCAGATTGTATGTTTAAGTCAATCTTATAAACTAGTGTAAATGTGTCAATTAGTTACCTATACTTTTACGTGCCAAAACAATTATCATAGAAAGCTATCTCACCTTTATGTTCCTTGAGTGAGCTCATATTGTAAAGTGATTGATACGCTAAAAAAATTAATTGAACTTAGGTTTTAATCAATAATAAATATATGCATTATAAACATAGGTTTTATTAGAAATCTTCATAAGAAACTCTATTTTTACCAAATTTAATTGCTCAATAAAATAGAGTGAAGGTTTTAAAAAATTTAAAAATACTATTTTAAGTTTTCTTATTTTCATAATAAACACTCATTGAATATTTTAATTTTAAAAAAAATCACATATTGCATCAACATTGTAACCATATTGCAAACAACATGCCACAACAATTTGCTATTATAGATCAAGTGAGAAATTTGTCAACAAATAAAGGAGGTTATATAACAAAATCAAGAAATCTTCCAAAAATTATAATAGATGATTATGAGTTTGACTACCCACATGAAAGCTCTAAATACTTAGTTACTTATTGAACCACCTGCCCATAACCTACTTGCAACTGAACCTATAGGAGAAGAGTTTATAGAAAACCCTAGATTGTTTATCCATCTAGGAGAGATCCCCTTAGAAACTATAATAGGAATGGGAATCATAGGTTTCAAGACCATGTAGACGAAACAACTTAAAAGGTTAAGTAAAAGCTATAACCTATGATGATATGCATGCCCTAATAGACACATTACAACAAAAGCAATAGCAACCAACTATTACCCAATCACATATATACTTTTTCATTCTCAATAATCTGCTTAAATAAAAATATCCAATCTCTATACATTATAAATATTCAATAACTTTCATTTTTCCTAGCGAAATTCATAAATGTCATAACCAAATTATTCAGGATAATCAATATGATAACATATAAAAAATTGTGCAATAAAAATTTGATAAATTCAGGGAAAATGCAACAAAATTAATTATGAGGAGAATCAGAATGTCAAAATTGAAATATTTGAAACAGAGATAGGATTAGAGTCACCTAGCATGATATGAATAACTTTCGTAAAAGCGACAAAGCTATTTGAAGACAAAAAAAATCCATTTTTTCCTCTCTCCCCGATGCGCTACAATTCAAACATAAATTCATATTTCTTTCCATTTTCAATTATTTTTACAAATTTGGATTGTTACACGACACACCCTCCTATATAGGATATTTTGTTCCAACCAATTTGTCAATAACTAGCCAGTCTTTCTTGTAATTACAAATACATTATTATTTTTTTAATAATAATATATACATCATGTATAATAGCATGCATCATATATCCTATGTGTATACAATGCAATTAGCATGTAGAGGATTATACAATACAATTGGTAAACATATATTATTAATAATGTGCACATGTTAGTATGCTTGAATGTCATGTGAATTATACTAGATGCATTTCATGTCAATCTGCATGGGACTATTGCAATAGTCTTATTTTCTACATGTGTGTCCTTATTATAACCAGTTCAGTTGACATACTACACATGCAAAATTACCTAATAAAATTTCAATATGATTATACTAAAATACTCTAAATAAAAAGATATATCATACATTAAAAGTTACATTGCAAAAATTTGCTAAATCAAAAGATAATGTATTTAAATCAGATTAGAGAGAGAAGAAGGCTGGAATTCAAAATCATAAAAAATATAAATAAGATTCATGTTACCTGCTATGATAATAACAAATTTAACAATTGGAGTGACAGATGAAAATGAATGACAAATGAAAATGACCCGAAGTAGCTTTCTATCTCCTCTCTCTCCTCTTCGTCTCCCCCTTCTCTCCTCTCCTTCCCAGCCAAGAAATAAGATATGGGGATCATGGATGGTGGTTGGCAAGGGTTTTAATTGTGCTAGCACCAATTAATTGTGCTAGCACCTAGCACTCCATATCACAATGCTAACCTTGATCCTCCTATAGGTTAGCTCCACATCTCCCAACTCTAGCACTGTTGTGCTCGATCTCCCACAACTCTCCATACATAGGAGGCAATGCTACTATGCTCGAAAGCACATCACCAAAAGTCCTCCAAATACAAATTTCATGCATGAAAGGATTTTAATAGGTATCATTATAAGATCATTAATCTTATGCAAATGAGGGCTATTACATTACATGAGTATTCCCATTTTTTTATCAGACTAAATTAATCAAATTGCTCTAATATGATGAATAAACTTATGGGTTGGCTTGATGGGTAGAAGCAAAAAGTTCTATCATTTGTTGAAACTATTTGTACTACTAGCTCATAGTAAAAAAGAATCACAAGTTTAATCAATGACTTTCTTTATTAGAATGAGATTACCAATAAGATTCACATGATAACCTTGAACTTTATACCCCTACTTAAAGATAAGGGAAGGATTGGCCTTCCTTCTATTAATATCATAAATAATTTCTATAAGGCCAAATTTATTTAGAGAATTTATAATGTCGTTGTACCTCTTGATTGGTGCTACAACTTCTATGACTCCGTATGGGTTAAACCTTCTAGTAGTTCTATCTTTTTTTGAAAATATCTTCATAAGATTACATATAAGTTCATAAATATGATTATGCTCAAGGTGTCACGACCCAGCCCGGATACTCGAACTAATGAGGCAGGAATTGAAAGACGGATGGTTAAGACAATTAATACTCTTAATTTTAATAATAATTTCTAACAATACACAAACACTGTATAGCCACTAATAATCCATAAACTCTGAATAACCACTGATAAAAATTGTCATCAAACTATTAATAAGGTCTTCACAAATACTTAACAATACAAAAATCATAAGTTACCTGCTTGCATTTGTGCTTCTTTTTTTGTAGATGTATTCATCTTCTCTTTCAGTCATTTTTATTTATCTGGAGACTTATTTGAAAGTTTAATTTAATAGGCTAAGTTTACATGGTAAACTTAGTGGGTAATCTTTATATATATATTACTTAAACATGTATAAAAAATATAACGCATGAATATTTTTCTCTTTTCTTATACAATATTAAAACATATATAACATTTGATATATGTATAGTCGTATGACATTTAATATACATGTACTTTCATATAATTTTCTATTTCATTCACTCATTTATTTATTCCTTGCATATTTATTTCAATATTTATTTCATTTATAATTTAATTAGTCAGGAGCACTATCTAAATGTACCAATAAATATATAAATATTTATATTTCCTTTTCCATTCCATTTAACGGGTATGGTTATGTTGCTTCCCTAGCTAGCCAATACTATACAGGGGTGACTCCTATAATTTGCATACATATCCTTTTCTCATTTTTATTTATTCTCAATTATTCATTTATGCTTTTAGTTATAATTTGTATTATTTTCTTTTCTCATTCTTTACTTTTATTCAATATGTATATAAGTGTTTTCAATGTAATTAGAAAGCAAGGTTACATGAATTCATTAAGCGTCTTTAATGGTGCCTACCTCAAAGCCACAATGTCTCCATCTTGGAATATATCCTCAATATTAATATTCTTGACTCATCCACCTATTGTTTTTGTCTTGGTAGAGATGCTATATCTCATATGCAAGTATACTGTCATATCTTTCACAGGGTTCCTAACCTTGTAGCACAAACATATTTATTTTAAAAGTTATGCAATTAACTATGCTTTTCTTGGCTGGAAAATTATTAAATGTGGCCTCAAAATTATTGATTACCTTCTTAATAGAGTTGTTATGGGTAATCACATTTTGTGTTTTATGCAAGCAACATAATGAAAGCTACACTTTTGGACCGTGAAGTCTCATTTAGGTTTCTTAAGAAATGCATCCATAATGGAAATTTTTGACCCATTTAGAAGGCTCCTTAAATCAAGTTTTGAATAATTATAATTTAATTAATTGTAAAGTTACAAGAAGATATTTTCTTCTTGTTGTTCATATTATGACTTATTACATTTGAAAAAAAAAATATCAAGATTTTCTGGAATAAAGATGATTAATGGAAAAACTTTTATTGAGAAAATTCTTTTTGCCATAAAACTCAAAAGCAAAAGATGGAAAATGGAGCAAGCATTCCTTAGTTGCATTATACAACTATACTTCACCTAATGCATAATAAGTGGTATTTACTTTTTTTTTTTTGCTAGGTTTGCTTTCTAAATGGTTTTGTTTGTTTATGTGGTTTTGACTTTTGGGATGTTATATGGTTCTTGGCTGCCTATGGATTACTACAATATATTTTTTACTTTATGTGATTTTTGGTTGGAGAATTGTAACACTGTTGATGGTTATATATGATTTTTTGGACCCTGGTTTTAGCATCTTTTTCAGATTTTTTGCATTTCTCAGCTCTCCCGCACTACTAATCTTTTACTGTTATGTGTTCTAATCATTAACATAAACCCTTCTTTATTTGCTATTCTCTCAATGACACTTAATTTTTGCTGATTATCATTATGATATATTTCTTTGTTGTATGTGTGCTTTTGATTTAGGGGTTGTGAGTGAGTTAAGTCCGTTCAAATTCGATTTGCTAATGAGCTCATAAATCAAATTTATTGAGTTTAGATTATAATCGAGTTGGCATATTATAAGAGCAGGAGCTCGGGCTAGAGCTTGATGATAGGCCGACTCACTCGATAACTCTTTGGAGCTGTTTGGTTCGGATTTACAGCATGATTTAAGTCGGATTTACGCTAAATCCAGCCAAACAGTTTTTGTGCGCGCATTAAATCCCGGGATTCGGTAAATCTCAGATTTACCGATTTACGGCTTAAATCCGGGATTTATTAAATCCGAGGGTTAGCCGGATTTAACGGGATTTATCCGAAGAAGCGCGCGAAAGGGAGAAAGTTACCTTCACAGCCAGCGAGCTCCCGTTCTTACTTCCGATAAAATTGTCGTAACTTCCGATCCGGGTTGATGAGAAATTCGTCGCAGGAGCGAAGTCGAACAGTCACGAAGGAGCCGAAGAAGCGACACATGCAATCTATACACCTTCAAAGCAACGAAGCCGAACAACAACGACGAAAAGAGAAGATGAAAGGCAACCCATAGGCGCCTCTAAGTTATTATTGATTAACTTAATTAATATAATTTAAATTATTAATACTGTCGACTCGGTTAGATGTGATCCAATATAATTAACTATGCGATTCGCGGCACTTCATTCGCCTATCCGACTCGATTCGAAAGCAGCCGCAGCAGCCCAGCACTAATTTCGTGAGAGGTTTGGCGCGTCTGGGAGTTGAGGCGGGCGGAGATTCATCTTCTTATCGCGAGCCCTAGCGACGGCAAGGATATCCATCATTACTGTTTATTCTCTTCTTCGCTGCCCAGCACCTGTTAGTGGTTCGTTACCTTCGTTTTTATGTTCTACTAAGTTTCATTTCTTCCTTTCACAGTTGTGAACCACAACTTGTGATTTTTGCTATTTCCTTTTGAATGAAATCGTTTGATATGTTTCTTGGCAGGCTTTTTGCGGCCTCTGAAGATTTTGAGCGGAGAGCTTTTAGGTTTTCCTCCTTCAATATATTTCTTTCTGAAAATTTTTATGAGTTTTTTATTCCGCTTTAATTTACATGTAACAGAATTGCGGATGAATTAATTTACTCATAGAGGGCTATTGTTGTTGAATTCATTTGCTGTTAGATGAATTTAATGTTTTAAGCTTTTTTTGTTTAATGTGGTTACATTCATTGAATTCCTTTACTGTTTGAGTTTGATGTCGTTGTGGCTGTAACCTAATCATTTTGGATTCTTGATGTGCTGTATAATTTTATTATCTTTGAATTTTCTTAGAATGTAGATCCCAGGAGACACAATGCATGAACTTAGTGAACAGAGGAATGTTGAAAATAGAAGTGTTGAGCCTCAAACTCAATCTTATATTGCTTTTGAGCAGGTGAATGAGGTTTGATTGAAAATGAGCTTTGTAACGATAGTAATGATGTTGGCAATGAATATGAAAAGAGAATGCTGGTAATAATGAAAATGATGTTGAAGAATTGGATGAAGAAAATTATATTGATAATGCAATTGAGAGGAAGCAGAGGAAGAAAACATGAAAAGTTTGGGATGAATTTAAGGTAGTTATTCTCCCTGATGGGCAAAGGAAAGTAGAGAGTTTTTATTGTAAGAAGAAACTAGCTTTGGGCAACACCGCACAATCTAAAAGGCATTTGGAAGGTTGCGCATTTATGATTCATGCTTTGAACCTATCCATTCCTAGACATTGGCTTTAGCCCCACCATTTTTTCTTTCCTAAATTAAGTTGTTTTAATTTTGGTAAGTTTTTGAATTCAAAATCAAACGAATTTGAAATTTCAAATCCTTTCTTAAATTATTTAGTTTAATTTTGGAAAGTCTTCCCTCAATCAATGAATGATTAAATCTGAAATTGATTGAGAATCAATTCAAAATTCCTACATTCATCGAACCTAGACATGTCTTCCTACATTCATCAAACCTAGACACTTCTTCCTACATTCATCGAATCTATAGACACCTCTTCTTACATTCATCGAACCTAGACACTTCTAATGTAGAAAAGATCTCGACTCCGTCGAGTTCCCATCCCGGGTAACCATGCTCTGATACCAAACTGATGTAGAACGGAGGGGGGTTTTGGTTAATTAATTTTCTTAAGTGGATGTACAATTGGGGAATTAATTAATTTATGAGGGAGAGGAAGAGATGGGGGTCGACCAAAGGAGGGGAGAGAAGTGTCTAGGTTCGATGAATGTAGGAAGAGGTGTCTAGGTTTGATGAATGTAGTAAGAGGTGTTTATGTTCGATGAATGTAGGAAGACGTGTCTAGATTCAATGGATGTAGGAATTTTGAATCGAGTTCCAATCAATTTTAGATTTAATCATTTATTGATTGAGGGAAGACTTTCCAAAATTAAACTAAATAATTTATGAAAGAATTTAAAATTAAAACTTACAAAAATTAAAACGACTTAATTTACAAAAGAATAAATTTAAGAGGGAAAATGTTGGGGCTAAAGCCGGTCGCTAGGAGGAGTGGTGAGGGTTTAGGTTGGGCGACAGTTTTTGGAGGGAAATTCAATTTCAGAATTTTGAATTTGAAATGGGAGGAAATCAAAATTCAAAATGCTGAAATTAATTTAGCCATAGAGGTGGGAGTAATTGGTGGGATTGGAGGCTTAATTTGGGGAGCATTAATGGGTCTCTTAATTAGGTGAGAGAGAGGGAGAGGGGCCAGCCAAAGGAAGGGGATTAGGCCCTTAGGAGGTGATTTAAAGCTTGCCAAGTGAGGAATCTTAAATTAGGAAGGAGTATTTAAATCAAATCCTATTTGAATTTGAAATAGGTTTGATTGGAATACTTTTCTAAAATAAGATAGCTAATTTAGGAAAAGATTTGAAATTTAAATTCATTTGAATTTAAATTCAAAAGCTTTCCAAAATTAAAACAAATCAAAATAGGATAGAAGGAAACTAGGATGAGAGGGCTAAGGAAAGTGGCGGCTTGGTGGAGAAGGTGGTGGTTTGGTTGGGTTTTAGGGTGGAGATGGGGAGGAGACCGGTGGTTGGAAGAAGGGGAGAGTGGTGGCCGATGGTTGAAAAGGAAAGGGGGTGGGTGGTTGGTGGTGGGGAAGAGGATGGGAGATAGAAAGCCAGCGGCTAGGGGAAGATTTAGCTGGTAGTTAAAGGAGGAGGTGAGAGATTAGAGAAAGAAAATAAACCGCGAGTTTCGGAGGTGACGGGTATTGCGTTGCACTTCACCAAGGGACTTCAACCATGAGCCCAGACACATCCTGTGGCTAACGGGTGATGCGATGCCCTCATCTAAAGACTTCAACCATGAGCCCGGACATATCCTATAGCTGGTGGATGTTTCATTGCCCTCACATAGAGACTTTCACTCTCCTAAGAATTCCCATAGCTCTCTAGAACAATGTTTAGAAACAATTTTCTTTTATTAATCCATCATTGTCTAATACAAGAGCAATGTCCTTTATATAAGGCCTTAAAAGAAACTAAAAGATAACTTTACCCCTTGGGCTTACATAAGACAAGACCCTTAAGTAAGGGTAAAACTAAAAAATGCATAATTAAATAAAAAAATATAATTAATAAACTAAGATAAAATGGAGGGATCTTGGCTGTCGATCTTCATCTCTTCCTTTGATTAACATCCACCGTCGGATAACATCCACCGTCGGATGTCCGCATCACTTATACTAAACCACATAATCATGCCGTTGATATTGCAATTCTACCCAATTGCAAAAGCAAATTCACTGAAGATGAATTTAATTAAACATTGCATGTCAACACCAATTATAAACACTTCATAGGCTCATACAAACACCACAAGGTTTTTGATTATGGTGATCTTGTTATGGCTCACATTAGCAAAGAGCATTATCCTCCGACACATATTCTAAATTGAGTCCACAGGAACTTGACTTGTTCCCTATAGTCAAAAGGATCAATGACAATGCTTACATCATCTACACTCAATCCGTCATTCACACCTCCTCAACTTTTAACATCTCCAATATCTATGATTACGACCTATTAGATAATTCTGTGGTGCAACTTCAGATACTTGAAATGAGTTCTCCAGAAGTAGGAGAGACTTGATGCATGAAATATCTACTAACTTATTTTATTATGCTATTTTGTATTTTAACCCAATATTATTCTGTCGGGTATCTTTTCTATTTATACTGCATCTTTATATTTTGGTTTTGTTTTGCTCCGTGCTCTACTTTGCAAGAGGGCAGGGTCACAATTCTTATCATTACCTGTATGCCAAATGGAAATAGTTTCTCTTTTTTCTTTCATTTGCTTCTCCATTCTCCTCCTCCCTGTTCAGCTCCTACGATAACTGTAGAGCTTTGTACATATCACTGTGCACAACATTAGTTCTAAAGAGTATGTCCTTTTTTTCAATACAATCTTGACTGAATTTGTTAGCTTATTTCTTATGTTGTTCAGGCACTTATGTTGTACCGTGGGTGCTGGATATTTACCTGTCATATGCCTTTTTGCTTGTCTTCCTTTTATTTCATGGTTCATTTCAAAGTCTTTGAGCACATTAAAATCTTCTTTATTACTTATTTTCAGATTTATCTTTCTCAAATCGGTTAGGTAAAGAATATTGCTATTTTGAGCATCTTTTTGTTGATCTTTTTTGATACCTCGTATTTCCGCTTTCTTTTGCTTTCATTTCTGGTTTTTATATTGCACAAATTTCAGCTTCTTTCCCATATTTTCTTCAATCCTTGTGTGCTTGGTTTTTTTTGTTGATTAATCTATATAATATCATATTTAGGCTCTACACTGGTCATGCTTGGTCTTACATATACATTTTTTTCATCTTTCAGGATTTGCTTGGTATTTTTGTCGATTGATCTATATAATATCATATTTAGACTCTACACTGGTCATGCTTGATTTTACATATACATTTTTTTCATCCTTCAGGATTTATCTTTTTCTATGGGAGGAGGTGGTTCAAAGTTTCATGGGTCATACCAAAGGTCAAATGAGTACACGCATACACCATATGGTACTGCGCAACACACTGCCAATCCTGTCAACTATGTGCAGCCAGGAACTACAGAAAGGCTACAAAAGAAGTATTCCAAGATTGGTGATAATTATAGCTCACTTAGTCAAGTAAGTCATTAATGGTCAAAGATGATATAATGTTTGTATTGAAGAAGGGTTTTTCCGATCTTAGATTTCATCTTACTCTTGTAGGAGTTAGCAATTTGTTATTTTTTTATTTCATACTTTTAACTAGGGGGATGTTTTCATTTTTGTGTAAATCATTCTGCTGAAGTTTTGAAGTTTCTCATTGTTGACTAAAAAAAATAAAAAAATTATAGAACTCTCATGCATTTGTCTTTGTCATAGTAAATCTTCTTCATTATGGTCTGTTCATTCATAATCGAAGCTGGAGTTAAAACTACAATGCTATAAACATTGAATATTTTCTGCAATTTTGAATTTATACAACCTATGAATTTTTTTCGTACTAAATAGTAATTGCTTTACTTATTTTAACAAGGGGAAAAAAAAAATCTCCACAATCTAGATTTGATGAAGTTTAGCAATCCGTTTTCTGGCCCATAACTTGTGTCTGCCAATTGGACGTATGCATGCATAAATCACCCGCTGGATTTTGTCTTACTCAAGATGTTCTATTTCAAGAAGAGTTGAAAAATGTCTTTTTTGATTTCTAATCTTGTTTTTCATATGTTTTCTATAAGACATTGTGACAATGGACAAATCCTGAACTGGGCACCAAGGCGCCAGTTTTGCTGCTATGAAATGATGGATTAGGTGCCAGCTTTACTATGTTTGGAAAGTTTTAATTGTTTGTCTTTTTTGTTTTGAAAGTCTTAAATGTTTTCTTGTTTTCTTAACCTTTTAAGAATTTTTTTTAGATTATCTATTTAAAAATTAGGTAGGAGAGGGGGATGAAATTTGATAGAAATGAGGGATAATTGTAATGCCAAAGCAAAATTTTGATGAATGAATATCCAATTGTGTTTTCTAAAATTCAGAGTACTCTTGTGCTGTTATCGTGGAGTTTTGTAACTTCATCAGGCTTGATTATTATTCATTGTCAAGGAGAAGTTTTCTAACTTAATCAAGGTCGACTCTCTCTCAGTTATTCTACCCTAGTGGTAGATTTGCTTCGTGTTATGTCTATCTCCGTTTAAAAAAAAAAAGTCTATCTCCGTTGTCACACTATAACAACAAAATTAAATATATCTCTTCTTGAAGGTAATCCATGCGGATCCATTTCATTGCTTGAAATTCAAGATTATTGTATTTAATTTGCTGCAATGTGTTTTCTCAAATTCTCTAGCCATTTGTAAGTTTCTATAGCATTATATGATTATATCTATAATTGCAGTAATGGTTGTTAAGTATGTTGTCTTATAGTGCTTTTGTTTCTTTATGCAAGCTGACAAGTTAATGTACTCCGCAATGTCTGTGAAACAGGATGATATCTTGAGTCTTACACTTGAATAGAGACAGCGCATCTTGGAAGAGTTACATGCTTCACACATGAACATGGTCATCACACATAGACAAAAGAATTCGTCATCCAATAACATCATAAATTCCTAATAAGGATTCTTATTTATAAAAGAAGACTCAAACAACAAACAAACTTAACAGAAAATGAGTAAATAATCCAAGAAGACTTGACCATGACATTTAAATGACATACAATGGCTCAAATAATTCATGCAATTGATGTAATTACTTCTAAGTCTCAATGAAAAAGACATAAACATAACCATAGAAAAGTTATACTTAACTCCAACTCTACCTGGCACAATCAAGTTCTTTAGATTGCAAATCATTCTACTTAAATGGGGGGTATGTAAAATACATCTACGACAGCTATAGGATTCAATCTATTTGGTGTGAATCATGATTGGCCGTGTACTTCCAGTAAGAAGAGGGTGATGTCGTATAGAGGGGATTAATAGCTAACTTATTTGAAAATAGTTATATCTGTAATATCTCGATCTTTCATTTCCAAACCGGGATCATCAGTTTGTTCTTGCGTTGAAGATGAAGTGAGGGGTTTTGTTGGTTGGAGTCGAAGGAGATGAAGTGGCAAAGGCCAATTCATTCTCGTGTGGGAAGACGATGGAGACAAAAGTAATGTCGGGTTCACCTCTCACGAAAGCACTACAACTGGTTTGTTCTCACGAGGAGTCGAACATATCATCGCTGTGTGGAAATAAGATGAGTTCCATCTCTTTAAAATTTGAGAAGGGGGAAATAAACGAGAGCCATCGAGAGAGAGAGTTGTCAACTTACAGATGTATACAATAGAAGAGGCATGCACAAGCTAGAGAGCGAGGGAGATCGTGTGCGTGAGACCGACATATGTGAGTAGTGACGAGAAAAAGACACTAGGAAAGAGGAGAGGTTGTTGGTTGTTTTTCTAAATTGTATACTTAAATTGATATTAAGATTATTATTTTAAGTTTAATTTTTTAGAAAATAATTTTTTGATTTTTAGAAGGAAGAAGAAAAAAGATGATAAATTGATTATTTAGATTATGAGATTTTATTAAGAAATAATAATAATAATAATGATATACATAAATATAAGAATGAAAATTATAAATATTATTTATTAGTTTATGAATTTTTTGATTGAATTTTAGTAATAAATTTATATCTTAAGATAAAAAAAGAGCATATAATTTAAATATGTATATATATTAAGATGGAAAGTAATAAACTAATTTTAGAAGGAAAATTTAAATATCGAGTTACATAAATTAAGAGCAAATTTATCATTTAAAATTTTAACGATGAGGTATTTGTATATGTTTTAATTCTATCAACCTTAGAGTAAGGAACAAGAATGAAATATCATAATACTTAGATTCGAGGTGAGTACCCATATACTTTTAAATTATAGTATTGATTTTGATTTCTTCTAAATTTAGTGCATGGAAGGATATTAATATATAATTATTTTGTTATTGTTGAAAGCTAAATCATATTTTATCTTTCTCATATTTAATGATTGTTCATCTTAGAATAAACGATAATTAGCATTTGTCTTTCACATTTTCATGAAGTTAAAGAATGCTATATGAATGAAATGGCTAGATAAGTATGCTTGTATGTGCATGTTGATTGATAGAGTACACTCCCTTATTGTATTGGTTGAGGACACAATTTATTCACACAACTTGAAATGGAAAAGGCTTTGAAATAAGTTATGGAAAAGATTTTTGAAAAAAATATGGAAAAGGAATTGAAAATAATACATTCATTGGTACTATTTAGATGGTATATCCTGTGATAGTTGTATTAATTACAGAAAATGTTATCATAGGATATGAGTATGCATAAGATATGATTGATGGCAATTGCCAAAATTTAAATAAAATTATGATTCAAAATGCATTGTATTATTATAATTTAGAAGCATGTTGTACTCACTAAAGTGGAAGAGGAGAGAATGTGTATCATAGGTAAGACGTTCCGAGAGAAAGGTATTTATAGTATTTTACTGTAATATATTTGAGATTTTAGTGGCTTTTCTAGTGTATTAAAAACAATTAGTTAGTAAGAGTATTTAAATAATCGTCTGATTGTCTATTCCTGCCTTATGAATTCGAGCTTCCGGGCTGGTCCATGACAATATTAGAGTTAGTTATGTAGCTACTTTTGGTAAGATAACCTCCCTATGAAAGCATCAACACCCCAAAGGCTTGATATATTAAGAAATTGATCCTTAGTATTCAAAGAAATAATGTCAGCAGGTGAAATAAGCATGTGTGAGGTTTTAGCTTTTTAATAATTTACTAACATTGTGTCACGATCCGACCCAGAGTATTGAATTAACAACGCTAAAATAGACGGTTGGGCACGTATTTTTCAATAATAATAATTATTCAATAAATTAAATATCCAAGTGTAACTGAAGAGCTAAAATAATTTTTCACTCTAAACCTATTATAAAGCAGTTATTTAACTATTTTTAGTTGATCATTTCCTTTTGTACGTGAAATTTTCTCGATCAACATTTAATTAATAGGAGATTTACTTGAAAATTTTAATTTAATCATTTAAATTTTCAATAACAAACTCAGTTGGTGTTGTTTAGATGGTACTAGTTAAAATTACAAGAGTATCGACAAATACAAGAGTTCACTTCCTTATGATACTGGTTGGGGATGCAATGTATCAATGCACAATAAATGAAAAAGGAAATAAAAATGAAAATAGAAATGAAAGTATATTGATTGGTACTGTTTAGACAGTGCTCGTGTAATAAATGAACTGTTAAAAAAATTAAATTTAAAAGAAATAGAAATTTTGGAATAATGTTTCATCGATCAAGAAATTATAGTATTCACATTTATATTAAATATTATATGCATGTTAAATGAAAGGTTTTATAATTGAGTATGACAATTTATATGTTTATTTTATTGTTACATTATAAATTATAATTGACCATTAAGTTTGTTATTGAAAATAGAAATTATTAAATTGAAGTTTTCGGATGAATCCTCTGTTGATTAAATTACTGATCGAGAAGTTTTGTGTACAAAAGAAGATGATCAATTGAAAATAAGTAAAAAAATATTTTACAGTATGTTTAGTCTGGAATTTGTTTTAATGGATATTCAATTATATGTGGATATTTAATTTATTGAGTAATTATTATTATTGAAAAAACTATGATATCCGTCCGATCTTCTGTTCGAATCTTGTTAATTCAAGACTCCGGGTAGGGTTGTGACACATAAAATGCTTTGAAGTTAGCATCTTGGAGGTGAAATGCAAGTAGCATTTCAACTAAATAAAAAAAGATGTACTGTCCTTCATTGTAACCTCAAGCACTAAAATGTAAAATCATGATACCTTCCAAATTTTCCTTATGATAGTTCCATTATTATAAGAATCATGTACTCATGTATATGATCAATGAATAGTTTAAATAACATATGTTCCTTGCATGGATAAATGCAATGAAGCATAGAATCTTTCAAAAGGATCTACAATGAACAATTAGAGACTAACAAGAAGTTTTAATGATTATACTAATTGAAACAACCTTAGCATTTGGCAAAGTAAAATATAAGTTCCTAGATCATCTTTCTAAAGATTTACAAAAG